CTGAATGCCTATTTCCGCACAATATGTGTGAGGCATCAGCACAGGACGTACAGGGCTGTGCACTCGTACTGGCGCTACAGCACGTGGCACTGGCGCAGGATATACGGGACCGAGGAGGGGTCCTGGAGGCCACGAGCGTTGAGCCGGCACACCCCGTCCTGGCTGCATGCCCACCTTAGCACGACACGTGCGTGGTGCTAGCACAGGACAGGCGTACAGGCATTCACCTTTGCCCATGGCCCTCTGCCCGCGAATATCTCCTCCCAAGACCACCATTTGCCCACCTGCGACATCGCCATCTTCTCCTCCTGGGCACGCTGCTTGGTCCTCTTATGGTGGGATCTTCTGTCACGATCGTTGACTGAAGACACGAACCAAGGCGCAGCGTGATAAGCGTACATTTTATTTAGTACACAACACAAACAAAACAACAAACGATACGTGAAGTCCTAGGTTAATACAAAACAAACCTTACGGAACAAGATCCCACAAAGACTAGTGCAAAACAGGCTGCCTAAATATGGTCCCCAATCAGAGACAACGAGCTACAGCTGCCTCTGATTGGGAACCACCCCGGCCAACATAGATCAAAACGATCTAGAACGAAAACATAGAAAAACTAAACATAGAAAAATCCACACCCTGGCTCAACATTTAAGAGTCCCCAGAGCCAGGGCGTGACAATATCAGACCCAACTCTACATTGGATTTGAAACAAGTCATTAACCAGTACTGTTTTCATCTAATCTAACTTCAACTTAAATACATTAAGATTCAATCAACCATGGACGAATGATAGTATACCTAGCTTTACGTTGAAATTATGGTGTCCTTTGGGCAAATAATATATGTCAATGTAGCCTACATAAACCCAACCTTACTCCGAATGTACTTTCACATAAGAAAAGTTAGAGAAGTTACTTTAAACTATTCAATGTTATTTAGGTAGTCTACACAAATGAGTATGGAAGCTGTTCAACATCTAAATGTGTTGGCATGATAGCTCAGCTGAAATGTACACAGTTTGTTTCCAAAGCTAAACAGGGTACATATACAAATATATATAAAAATATAAAGTTAACTGCCAAAAATAATGGAAAGACTTGAGTAAATGTGGGATACAATGTATATTGAAAGCAGGTGCTGGTTCCATTGTTAATTAAGCAATTAACATCCCATCATGCTTAGGGTCATGTATAAAAATGCGGGGAAGGCCATTATTTTGGCTACCATGGCTATTCCCAAATAGGATGACAATGCCCCCATCCACAGGGTACGAGTGGTCACTGAATGGTTTGATGTGCATGAAAACAATGTAAACCATATGCTATGGCCATCTCAGTCACCAGATCTCAAGTCAATTGAACACTTATGGGAGATTCTGGAGCGGTGCCTGAGACAGCATTTTCCACCACCATCAACAAAACATCAAATGATGGAATTTCTCATGGAAGAATGGTGTCACATCCCTCCAATAGAGTTCCAGACACTTGTAAAATCTATGCCAAGGTGCATTGAAGCTGTTCTGGGTCGTTGTGGCCCAACGCCCTATTAAGACACTATGTTGGTGTTTCAACTATGTTGGCAGTTACCTGTATATTAAATGTAGGATGAAAAATATTTGGGGGGAATTTAACACAATTTCAACGTATTCATAGCTCTGATGATTATGTTGAAATTAGATTGATGTAACAACCTGTTAGTCAGGTTAAGTCAATGTATTTAAGTTGAAGTTTTACCCTAATCTCAATGTTTACAACGTGGTCCTCTGTAGCTCAATTGGTAGGGCATGGCGCTTGTAACTCCAGGGTAGTGGGTTCAATCCCCGGGACCACACATACGTAAAAATGTATGCACACATGACTGTAAGTCGCTTTGGATAAAAGCGTCTGCTAAATGACATATTATCATTTTTATTTTTCCACATTGATTCCACGTTGACAAATTACATTGAAACAAATTGGATGTTTCATAGCTAATTAGTTTGTTTTACTTTGTTGATTAGGCTACTCTGTATATCCAATATAAGACTCCACAACTCACCAATTGCGCAGTACGTGCACAGTATGCAACCGTTATCCTGTCCTAGCAGGATCTTATCAGCGTCAGGTAGGCTACTATGCTCCAAAAGGGCAAAGATTAGGCTACCACCTAAAACAAAATCAGTGAGAAAGCAGCTGTACTGATGATATCAATGCAAAACAATACAACACAATAAAAGCTTGTTTTTGGTTCTATTTTTGACCCGACTTGTAGAGCTGCTAGGACCGTGGTTAAGTTTGATTGAAATTAGACAGACAAAACTCAATAGCTATTAGTAGATTTCACCTATAACACTCTTCATCTAATCCATTCACCACCAGCTTGTCAAACCTCCTTTACAACCAAAACATGAGCACAAACACTTTTGGGCTTTTGCTCCAGCCCTTGATGAGCTGAATCAGGTGTATTGGAGCAGGGCTGGGGCCAATGCTTACCCAGCAGCTCTCCAGGAGGAAGGATGGTTGATCCCTGTTCCAAAGGACATTACTGAGTGAACAAAAATGGAAGACAGAGTAACACACACTGTACAGTGGAACTTGTGAGACAGATTCAGTAAAAATGTATGCACACATGACTGTAAGTCGCTTTGGATAAAAGCGTCTGCTAAATGGCATATTATCATTATTATTACATGCTGCATAGGGGGAGGTATTATGCCATTCAGACTCAGTTCTGCTGAAACACTTGTTTGGAATTCGGACCTACAAAGTGTCTTTAAAGTAGATGTGTTTGATGTCATTGCAACATATGATTTTGGCTGTGAAGAAAGCTCTGTCACTTTAAAATGCGTCTTACAGAACGGAGCAAATGTGCAATAGAGTTGCGTGTCGAGGTTGTCGATAACATAAAGCAGTGACATAGTCCTTGAATGCGCCATTGTTACGCTGTCAGAAGCATGTTATAGCAGACTTAATAAACAGTCTTGGTAGCTGATAAAGTGTATTACATTCATGACACAAACCCTTATTTTACACTAAGCATATGGCTAGCCAGCTAGCATACCTAAACTCCTGCTGTGTAAAGTCAGTTGTCGTACGCTAATGTTGTTGCTGTTGAATTTTTATGATGTCTGGGCTATCCGGGGATTGACAGCTGTAAAACTTGTAACATACTTTTATAAATATATGTAGTTCTTTCCATGAGCTGTTTTTGTCTATTCATGTTCTGTATAATGTCATGTTTCATGTTTTGTGTGGACCCCAGGAATAGCTGCTGCTTTCGCAACAGCTAATGGGGATCCTAATAAAATACCAAATACCAAAGACGTCTAGCGACATCATCTAGAACAGACAGTTGGTGAACATAATCAAACGAACATGGGAGCTTGTTTATTGCAAATTGTGACACCAAATGGCAGTGGTGGAAAAAGTATCCAATTGTTATCATACTTGAGTAAAAGTAAAGATACCTTAATAGAAAATGACTCAAGTAAAAATTAAAGTCACCCAGTAAAATAAGTGTCTAAAAGTATTTGGTTTTAAATATACTTAAGTATCAAAAGTAAATGTAATTGCTAAAATATACTTAAGTATCAAAAGTAAACATATAAATAATTTCAAATTCCTTATATTAAGCAAACCAGACCGCACAGTTTTTTAATTTATGGATAGCCAGGGGCACACTCCAACACTCAGATATCATTTAGGGGCTCCTGAGTGGCGCAGCGGTCTAAGCACTGCATCTCAGTGCTAGTGGTGTTACTACAGACCCTGATTCGGTTCCAGGCTGTATCACAATCCGGACGTGATTGGTAGTCCCATAGGGCGGCGCACAATTGGCCCAGCGTCGTCCGGGTTTGGCCGGGGTAGGCTGTCATAAGAATTTGTTATTAACTGACTTGCCTGGTTAAATAAATAAAATGTTATAAATTAAGCATGTTTGTTTAGTGAGTCCGCCAGATCATAGGCAGTAGGGATGTTCTCTTGATAAGTGCGTGAATTTGACTATTTTCCTTTCCTGCTAAGCATTGATAATGTAACAATAACTTTTGGGTGTCAGGGAAAATGTATGGAGTAAAAAGTACATTATTTTCTTTAGGAATGTAGTGAAGTAAAAGTAAAACTAATGCCAAAAAATCAACTTAAGTAGTACTTTAAAGCATTTTTACTTAAGTACTTTACACCACTGAAACATGGAACTGTAACATTTCTTCATGTTAGCCTACTTTGCTTTACATATTTAGGGAAGCACGTGGAACTTGGTTGCTCATGTTCGTGTGCACCAAACTGTCTGCTTTTTATGCCACTAAACGTATTTGCGATGAGTATGTTCCTTGTTCTGCATCACAAGCCTATGATGGACTCATCCCATAGCTTTTCCCTCCTCTGTCCTGGTGTCCACTTTCTTCTTCATTTTCTTCTTGTCTTTCCTGTGTTTGGCTTTGGTCTTCTTGGTCTGCACCCTCTCTTCTGTGTCTTCTTGAATCTCAGCCTGCATATGTGGCCCCAGGCAACATGCTTATAGGTGCTCCTTCTGAAGCCAAAGTGAGTGGGAGGAGCCTGATAGGACAGGCACCAAAGGGGAGGAGGACAAAAAGCAGCAGCAGGATGCAGAGGAAGAGAGGTGCGAGGAAGAAGAGGGCGGGAGGAAGGAATAAGTGCCAAGGTGGTTTTATTCTGGCCTCCAACCTTGCTGAGGTTCGCTCCTCCTCTTCTCCCTCTTCCTCCTCCTTTCCCTCTTCCTCTCCCTAGGTAGCCCCGAAGCTGGTTTTGGGGGTATCCCGCGAGCCTTCTGCACATGGATGTAGTCGGCCAACTCATCTGCGAATGAGTCATACACCTTCTGAGCTTTGCATAGGTCAACAACCTTCTTCTCTCTGTTGGGGCAGAGGGTGAAAGACAAAGGGTTACATAGTTTAACACAGTACAGAGCTGGGAACTTATAATGAACATTATCTGTTTTGGGGAAACAAAAGATAGCAGTCAATCGATCGAACATAGTATGTTCTTCATGAAACTTTATGTGGTTGTTCTCTTGATCTGGTGCTTGTTTCCTTGCATGTGAGCCTGGTACATCTCCACAGAGTCTAGCTTAATGTTACACACTGGACAGGAGTTGGCTGCAGACAGAGGAATTGCAGACAGAATAATATTATTACTCAGAAACCTTGCTTTGCTCGGCTCCCCACAACACTCAAACACATAGACACATTTTTGAAGGAGAGAGAGCTATTTGAGGGGTTAAAAACATTAGCCCATTTTCTCTGACAATGGTTCCCTTTCCATTCCAGGAATGCTTTCCTTTCCACCCATTTCATTGACTGGCTGATGACCATAGACAGTCAGACAGTGTAGGGCATGGGTATCTTGTGCGGGGTCCTCTCCCAGGTCTTTGAGCAGCTGCTGGCGGGAGTGATTTCTCTGGTGCTTGCGGCCAACGTAGTGTTGCTGGGCCATGTGGGGGTTGTTGAAGGTGGCGGCACACAGGTGGCAGTGCTTGTTCGGGTCACTCAGGTCCACAGTGTCTGAGGTGTCCTGGGGTCCCTTCCCCACCTCCTTGCCTGTTCTCTGGTCTGTGCCAGAGGCCTGGAGTGGGCTTGGAATGGGAAACTCAGGGCCACTTTGAAAGAGAGAGTGTCTGATTGGGAAAGAGAGATATGTGGGTTCAGTTTTTAACACTGACTATTACTTAGTATTAGATTACTAGTACTAACCTGTCTATTAGGCAGAGTGAAATAGGCTGTACTAACCTGTTGTCATGGAAATTACAACCAGGGACACCTGATGTCAATCATAAATGAAACATACTTTATTAACAGCAAGCTGGAGAGGTCACAGTCAAACTTAGATGCATAAAGTACCTGCTTACACAGACAAGTTATTCATTATTCATAATTAATTAATCATTGACATGTGGTTCATGCATGTGACAGACCAATACCTCATGGGGCTTCTTCTCTCCAAGCTGAGACCTTGAAACTGAGCTATCCCTTTCTTTTCAAAATAATGTTCTGGGTGTACTGCCAAATTGCAGATACTGATAGTGAGGATTCCTCCCAGGCACGATCAATCAGTCACTTGCATGAACCCAGTCAAATTGGTTATTAGAAAACACAAATATAAAAAGTTATTTCACACTGTCTATTAGGTAGAGTGATATAGGCTGTACTAACCCGTCAATTAGGCAGAATGATATAGATCAGGGATGTGACAAATTTATAATTCTTCTTAAGAAAAAATGCATAAAATTCCATGTGAATTCACAACGCAGCTGTGCTGCTGCCAGCAACGGTTTGGGTCTCATGGTGCGTCCCTTTCAGATGGTTAAGCATTGCACCTGTACTACCATTACTGTACCTCAATTCCACCTCGCAAAGTTAGCATTTCCTTCTCATTTAACTTCTCGAAGTATTGCCATACAGGACTTCTGTCACGCCCTGGCTCTGGGACTCTGTTATGTTGAGCCAGGGTGTGTAGTTTCTATGTGTCTGTGTTCTAGGTTGTTTATCTAGCTGAGGTGTTTCTATGTTGGCGGGGGGTTCTCAACAGAGGCAGTGATCAGCTGTGATGTGTTCTGATGGTACTAGGCTGTTTTCCACATTTTGTGGATCTGTTCGTTATGTTTGTGTCTTTATTATATAGACTGATGTAGCCAGGGGTGCGCGTCGTCAGCCTGGTCCGGCCCGTCCCTGCTCCCCGCACCAAGCCTGTGGTGTGCTTCGTCAGCCCGGTTCGGCCCGTCCCTGCTCCCCGCACCAAGCCTGTGGTGCGTGTCGTCAGCCCGGTCCGGCTCGTTCCTGCTCCCCGCACCAAGCCTGTGGTGCGCGTCGTCAGTCCGGTCCGGCTCGTTCCTGCTCCCCGCACCAAGCCTGTGGTGCGCGTCGTCAGTCCGGCACAGCCCGTGCCAGGTTCACCGGTGCCTGGTCAGGTACCGGTCAGCTGCTCCACATCGGAGCCTAAGCAATCCGCTCCACCGATGTCCAGTCCAGCTCCAGCCAGCAGGGCCAGACCGGACCAGGGGCGCTACGGGGGAATTGTTGGAGGGTGGTGGTCAAGTACTGTCACACCCTGGCTCTGGGACTCTGTTATGTTGAGCCAGGGTGTGTAGTTTCTATGTGTCTGTGTTCTAGGTTGTTTATCTAGCTGATGTGTTTTCTATGTTGGCTGGTGTGGTTCTCAATCAGAGGCAACGTGAATCAGCTGTTGATTGTTGTCTCTGATTGGGATCAATACTTAGACAGCCTGTTTTCCCACAGTGTTTGTGGGATCTTGTTTCGTGTATGGTTTGTGTCTGTTACCTAGGACTTCACGTATCGTTTTGTTTTTCTTCATGTGGTGACTCTAATAAAAAAAGTGTGTTCACTCATCACGCTGCGCATTGGTCCACTTCCTCCAACGATCGTGACAACTTCGCTGCTGTCGCTTGCCTTTCTCTGCCATTTTCCCAACTGTTAACGATGATGTAGTGGTGGGGAGTCGACTCCAAAATAATTAATTCCTCGACTCCCACAGCATCATGCTGTGGGGATGTTTTCAGCGGCAGGGACTGAGAGACTAGCCCGATCACGTTGTCTGGCGCCAAATTTTCCTAAAGGAAACCCTGAAATGCGCATATTATTTTAGAATATTCGCATGAAAATCTGTTGCCAATTGGATGGAAACCTATAGACACCCTCAAGACTCTGGCAAGTGCGCTAGTCCAGTGTCACTTTGATTATGCCTGCACATCATGGTTCACCAGCAGCCCCAAACATCTAAAGAATAAGCTACAGACTAGGGTTGAATATTTTCCCAGTATTTTACAAATGTACCATACCGAAAATAATCCCTTTTCTCTTGGGTAACCCATTATTTCCCGCCCAAACCAGAAGTGTCATTCTAAAGCATATTAATGTCTGGATTTGATTAGAGCTTTGATCAACATGAACATTCAAGTCTGATGCTACCTGAGTCTGAGCCATGCATTAAATACATTTTATGAGCCCTACATTAAAGATATTTTATGATCCCAAGCCCAAAAAACCTCAAATGATTGTGCCGTTATCCAATATACTATACATTCCGCACAACAGAAAAACGTAAAAGCCAATAGATGTAGCTATGTAAAAAAATATATGGTGACCCCGAAAGCCAGAAGGAGATGTGTAAATTAGACGTACATTCAGTCAATATATTACTGTAGCATATGCTGCAGAAAATGTAGGGACCACAATGGAAATAAGTCTTTGACTTTATTGTGTAATCCCGATCACTTTTATTTTTATTTGTCAGTATTATTTTTTACTGACAAATAAGATCAATCAATCAATCAATCCAAACTGTACAGAGGCAATTTGATAAATGGAAAGAGACATCTGTTACAAAACACCCAACAGTTGAATGATGTTCAGAGATTGTCAAACCAAGCCTTCGATGGTAGGGAGGGATGTATTTGTCAAGATTGACAGTCAATTTATCGTGGTGTTGAAAACGCAAACCATGTCAGTATGTTTTGTTTATTGGTTGTGTGGTGCATTGCCACAGAAACCTGTTGGTGGAAAATGTGTTCCATATATTTTATATAATTATAACTATGGCATAAAAATTTTGAAAATCTGATTTCCCCCTTGCTGATCCGGCTCTGATCGTGAAGTAATGAAACAGGTAGGGAGAGTGAGCTCCTCTGTGGTGGTCGGTGTACCCTCAACCGTTTGGCACATAGCCCTGCGTGGCATCCACTGGGCCACAAAAGCAAAGTAGATATCCATGTTTATAAACACAGGGTCGCTACAGTTACTATTATTTGTGGTCGTAAACATTATTTTGAGTTAATTCTATGAGGGGGGAGGGTGCTACATCTATTTTACAGTACAAGGGGAGGGTCATGTGAAAAAATTAAACATGCGATCACAATGTTTAGTTAGGCAGCTAAGTTTTAAATACATTAAGACCCTAAAACAAGCATTTTCATCTCTGCATTTTGTGCATTAGCTAGTTTCTTAACCCAGGCACAAGTTCAAATGGAATAGGAGATAAATACTTAGGCAATAATTGGCTGCTAACCCATCTAATGTGACAGCAACTGCAGTGGGGGGATTGTGCTAGCAAATTGGCTTCAAAGCAATGGCAGCTATTTAGGGCCTCCCAGTCAAGTGTTTGAGTGGGACCTAGCTAGCTAGCTATTGGAGTAGGTACAAGGCTAAGCGCAAAACGACGTTCAAGTGGGAAAGACACGATTATTTACCGACAGAAAGTGGTACTCTCGGATAGCTGGTTAGCTAAAGTTGACCTTATCATAGGCTACAGTGCCTTATTCGACATTGAACAGTTAGTGAACTAACCTTAGTTCTCTAATTTGAGAACGCCCTTGCCTTGGATAACGACGTTAGCATTGCTACCTAGCTTGTTAGCTACGAACTGTAATTACACATTCTTATTGAACTCACTTTCAATCTGTGAAACATTGGTATAGGTGTTAATGACTGTGTCAGCATCTACAGAACCCACGTTATGAGTAGAAATAATGTTATTTTCAGTATCTGACTCCACTAGCAGCGGAGAACAGATACTTTGCTCTTCCATCTCTGTTCTTATCTGAGCAGCGCATGCGCATTGCGTAGATAAATAAAAAATTTGTTGCAGAATGGTCCTTGCTATCTGGGATCCTTGGGATCCTCGCCTCTTCCTCTCTGCTTTTTGAGATACATCTTATTTACTCTCTGTAAAGTTCGAATTTTGTGTGCTCAACTTTCATATAATAACTGAGAACATTTTACTCTATTGTTTATGCTAGTGTTTACATTTTTATTTTTATTTTCAAATCATGTTTTCAAAAAAGATAACCTTGCTCTCATCATGATATTTATCTTGACCTATACTTTCTTTGAATCAAATCAATTAAAGAGAGGACAATGATGAAGACATTCATAACAAAATAGAAACTTTATTACAGGAAATGGCATGTGCATGATGTTACATCTGTAATTGATAGTCTACAGCAGCAAAAAAGGGACAGAAAGAGGATGCAAGGGTAAAGAGAAATGCTACATGATTTTGTGGATAAACCGCAAAATTGGACCAAATCACATGAGATTAGAATAGAGGTCATATGAAGGAAACAGACAGAGACAAGGAAGGATTTAAATCAGCCACGGTTGATAGGTTGTCCAAAGTTACTTTCTCTTCTGAAATTCTCTGGCCAGGGAATCCAACTGCAAAGAGAGTAACACGACATGAATTACAGGTACAGTATTATTTTTAGCCTTCATTTATCCCACAAAAAATGGTCTAAACAAGGGAGGAGATGAGTGAGGAAAGTCACACAGGGAACCCACCCATGAAAAATCCTTAAATCCAAAATAATTGTACTCCCGGAACCCAGTTCCCCCAACTATTTCCACCCCTGGATATGCAACATGCTTGTAACACCTGTAGATAAATAATAATACTATGCTCACACACTAGTGGCATTTCATTATTCACCCTGAATGAGGGACTGATTTAGACTTGGGACACCAGGGCTACATTCATCAGGGCACAACATTATGGAAATGTCAGATAGAAATACATGATGCAGAACAAACATGCCTCTGACACAGAATAAGGAATCACATCTGCAATGTTCCACAATGTTTGCCTATTGATCATGGCCCTGGTGAGTGGCTAATCAGTGACCATGTAGAAAAGAACGCGAGAATATTCCGGCCCCTCAGGCTCAGATTTGAGCTATCCCAGGCCTATATGATTGCCACATGATACAGCATCATTACATGAATGTACAACCCCCTTCCCACCCCTGCACTCACAATAATGTTTTTAAGGATGTTCCTTCGCTGGGGTCTCAGGTAGCTGCATTCTCCTGCCTCACAGAGTTTAATCTCCTCTGAATTCTGAGAGAGAGAGAGAGAGAGAGAGAGAGAGAGAGAGAGAGAGAGAGAGAGAGAGAGAGAGAGAGAGAACCGCATGATGGTGACACAAATGGCTACTGTGTGTTACCCAGACAGGTGCTAAACACCTGTCTTGATTCCTGATTAAAAGTGCTGTATGTAATATCCATTTGAGTCATTGAGATTGTAGTACTGTGACCCACCTCAGAGGTGGTAAATGAGTCCAGCTCCCTCTTGCCTCCTGGGTACCAGCCATGGGACCAGTGCTGGGAGGAGGACAGCTGGGCTCCCAGACACAGCAGCAGCCCCAGCATAAACACCAGTCTAGCCACACTGACCATCACTGGAGCTGGGTGGAGAGGGATGGAGAAATGTAAGGAGAGGGAGGGTGTGGGTTAAGAGAGCATACTGTCTGTGCAGTAGGGCATACCTTTCAAAAGGAAAGAAAGGGAGGGATGCGGGCTGGTTATATAATGAATGCCTCAGGAACGAGAGAAAGTGCGAGAGGCTGCTTTAACACAGGCTGCCCAAATCCGTTTTTTTTTTCTCACAAAATTGGTCTTTTGACAAATCAGTTCAGCTCTTTTTCCAATAATTGGGCAAACGATCAGAATTAGGCTGCCTGTGTAAACGCAGCCCATGTGGCCTGTCCTACTACTGCTGGTAGTGACATTGGTGTCAGAAGTGTGATGGCGCCTTCTGATCGGCCAGGCTTGCAAATTAGGGTATCCAAATGTTGGTGAAGAGGCACGATTGGACAGGAAAACAGCAACAAGCCTTAAAGTTTAAAATATATGTTTTTCTTGTAATGCAGGATAAATATTTCATACAATCAAATAATATTTATGCAGGGGGGAAAGATCTCCACAAAGTTTGCAGTGGGTTTCAAAGATCAGTTTCTCATAGGCAATTGTTGAGGTAATTTCTTCTCAAGATTCCACTTACCAAGGCAGGATTGAAAATAAAGAACATGTTAACTGCGTAATCTTCATTATAAAACAATTTATTTGTATTATTCATAGACAGCATCAAACCCAAAGCAAATTCTATAATCCTCTCCAAGATCTCACTTCATAGCCATTAATACCCAAGAGCAGAAATCATTGCAATCCTTACCTTAGACCCTTAGTCTGATAATCACTGTGGTATGGAATCGGTTATCACTGTTGATGTCCGCCAGGTACGTCTGTGTGCCCGCTGTTCACTTCTGCCTATTATTAACCTGTTGGTATACAGAAACTCAGTGGCACATTACTTTTCCTGAGGCGACGATGAGTGTTGTAGAGAGCTGGCCTCTGATGATATCTCTGAAGCCTCCTCTTCCTCCTCAATTTATGTCCCCACCTCAAATGCTTCCCCCACGTCACCTCGCCCTGCCCATCGCTGAACAATTTGCTCCTTCCCCTCCCAGAGGTCAGCTGAGCGGTGTATAGGGATGCGGGGTGTGCGTAAGATCCGCTCAATTCCAATTATCATCTCCAAACAGTCCTAACCTCCCTTGGGATGTTCGTCCTCTATCTAATACCCCATTTCACTGTCCCTCCCTGCCCCCTTCCACCAAAATCAACACATTTAGTGACGTAGGGTGAGTATTGGTTAAGTGGGACACCAGGCAAAGTGGAACACTTAAGCTTTGTAATGGATATCTTTACATGTGTACAATAACAGTTCAATGGGTATGACGTCATCATTGTGGGCACGGCATCCCGTGTAATGACACGTGTCTCAAGAGGTAAGTAAAATGACATAGGGTTCTGAGGTAAATAATGTTAAGGGTATAAAAAACTAAGAAAGGATATTCAGTGTCTCATTACAACATATGTTGTAATGGGATGTAATTGTAAATCAAAATGACTGTAAATGGCTTTCTTACTACTCTCCCCTTTTTAGAATATTGACATTTTGACAGTGTCCCAGTATGCCAATCGCCTACTCTCAAACTGGGACACCCTCTTACTCTCAAACTGGGACACCCTCTTACTGTCAAACTGGGACACTCCTCTAGGCCATTTCAATGCAGAAAAATTATATCTAAACTAATCTAATGAAATACATGTTTTCTTAACAGAAATCCATTTTCTAAATAAGATCAAATGTTCCATTTCATTTTCCTCAAATCTGCTATCAGCTAGCCTGCTAGAAAAAGCTAGCATAACTGCATTTTACTTAGAAAAAATTACCTCACCAACATAAAAAATCTTAGCTAGCTACTGTATATTCATAACAATACAGGTATATTTTGCTGTATTTGACTCTGGTGACAATAAAAGTCATTGAAATTGTTGTGGGATAAGGTCTTTATGGTTTCATTCTACAAAATGTCCATTAGAGTGTAGTGTTTAGAATGTTGAGCTGATAGGCCTAGATTAAGTTCTTTATTTTATTTTATAGGCTATACAATTACATATAGGCTACATCATATAATTATAATCAAGTATGATGACAATAATAATAATACATTATCATTTTTAATGTTCCACAAAAATACATAAAGAATGTTTTAATACATTTAATTTGTATGAATAATTGAAGTTTATCATATAAATATTGAAATTACTCATATACTCACTAATGTATCCTTCTTTACAATAAATAATTAAGTGTCTCACTTTACCAATCAATGTGTCCCAATTTGACAGTACCGACATACAAATGGTGGTCTCAGCACAATGTGTGTTTGAAGAAGAGTCATCCATCCTGTTTAACATTTATTTATTTGCTCTTTTGTATAGTGTAGTAGAGTTCTTAAGATATTTAGAATTGTATCATGTCGGGAAAATCCAGAAAATCACATTGTATGATTTTAAGTAATTAATTTGCATTTTATTGCATGACATAAGTATTTGATCACCTACCAACCAGTAAGAATTCCAGCTCTCACAGACCTGTTAGTTTTTCTTTAAGAAGCCCTCCTGTTCTCCACTCATTACCTGTATTAACTGCACCTGTTTGAACTCGTTACCTGTATAAAAGACACCTGTCCACACACTCAATCAAACAGACTCCAACCTCTCCACAATGGCCAAGACCAGAGAGCTGTGTAAGGACATCAGGGATACAATTGTAGACCTGCACAAGGCTGGGATGGGCTACAGGACAATAGGCAAGCAGCTTGGTGAGAAGGCAACAACTGTTGGTGCAATTATTAGAAAATGGAAGAAGTTCAAGATGACGGTCAATCACCCTCGGTCTGGGGCTCCATGCAAGATCTCACCTCGTGGGGCATCAATGATCATGAGGAAGGTGAGGGATCAGCCCAGAACTACACGGCAGGACCTGGTCAATGACCTGAAGAGAGCTGGGACCACAGTCTCAAAGAAAACCATTAGTAACACACTACGCCGTCATGGATTAAAATCCTGCAGCACACGCAAGGTCCCCCTGCTCAAGCCAGCGCATGTCCAGGCCCATCTGAAGTTTGCCAATGACCATCTGGATGATCCAGAGGAGGAATGGGAGAAGGTCATGTGGTCTGATGAGACAAAAATAGAGCTTTTTGGTCTAAACTCCACTCGCCGTGTTTGGAGGAAGAAGAAGGATGAGTACAACCCCAAGAACACCATCCCAACCGTGAAGCATGGAGGTGGAAACATCATTCTTTGGGGATGCTTTTCTGCAAAGGGGACAGGACGACTGCACCGTATTGAGGGGAGGATGGATGGGTCCATGTATCGCGAGATCTTGGCCAACAACCTCCTTCCCTCAGTAAGAGCATTGAAGATGGGTCGTGGCTGGGTCTTCCAGCATGACAACGACCCGAAACACACAGCCAGGGCAACTAAGGAGTGGCTCCGTAAGAAGCATCTCAAGGTCCTGGAGAGGCCTAGCCAGTCTCCAGACCTGAACCCAATAGAAAATCTTTGGAGGGAGCTGAAAGTCCGTATTGCCCAGCGACAGCCCCGAAACCTGAAGGATCTGGAGAAGGTCTGTATGGAGGAGTCGGACAAAATCCCTGCTGCAGTGTTTGCAAACCTGGTCAAGACCTACAGGAAACGAATGATCTCTGTAATTGCAAACAAAGGTTTCTGTACCAAATATTAAGTTCTGCTTTTCTGATTTATCAAATACTTATGTCATGCAATAAAATGCAAATGAATTACTTAAAAATCATACAATGTGATTTTCTGGATTTTTGTTTTAGATTCCATCTCTCACAGTTGAAGTGTAGCTATGATAAAAATTACAGACCTCTACATGCTTTGTAAGTAGGAAAACCTGCAAAATCGGCAGTGTATCAAATACTTGTTCTCCCCAATGTACACATATATGGGTAAAACTGTGGTTTACTATAAACAGCACGTTCACATATCTTCTCACCACATGGAACAATTCCATAGTCGACAAATGTCAACTGGACTGGTTCAGATTTTGTCAGTTGTGTTCTGATTTCAGAACTCATGAACCACAAAAACTGGGGAAACTAACAAAACCTCAGACTAATCAAGGTTGAACAAATTGAATCTTCAATGTTTCTCAACCTTGCTATAACATGGACTGGCTGTCACCAGCAATCTATGCTCCTTCCTTTACCAGGGACTGGCAAGCGGTTGTCCTTCCTGCTTTGGGGGCCACATAAAAGTACAACTATCACTTGAGAACTGACCTTATGTGTCATTTAGCTAACAGTATGTGGGACCAGTCAACAACATCCCAGGGATCAGTTTTGGTCTGCAGTCCGGGGGTTGAGGATCACTGACCTAGGCCAAATCCCATTTCCTCTGCATTTGCCCATGCTTAAAGTGGTGCCGTGGCCTGTCACACGGCCTCCAACACATTTGAGTGACCGCCAGGACACGGTGACCATGGGGACACCAGATGAGCAAACATGAGCACGATCAAACATGCCAGCCGCCACCATCACTCTCAATTCCGGTATGACAGGCCTTTTTGCTTGGGGGAAGGGGTATCAATTGGAAAGCTGCTAATTTTCATGTTTAAAATGCCTGGGGGGAGTTCCTATCGGGCGGTTGTTTGACAGTGTGTCTTCTCTCTGTAGACTTAGACATAAATACTTTATCTGCTGACTGACACGTCGTTGCCAGCGCGAGAGGAGCGCAGGAAGCAAGCGGACATGATGACAGAGCGCTCACCGAGCCTTGCACGCCAAACCTTTCTGAGACGCGCCAACGGAACCGGAGAATCTGGGCCCGTATTGAAAAAACATGTTAGAGTAGGATGTATGATCAGTTGATCTAGGATCAGTTTAGCTTTTTAAACCATAATGAATAACAGGGGGGGACCTGATACTTATTAGACTAGAGGTGTCAAACTCATTTTGCCCTGGGGGCCGCATTTGGTCTTCAACAAGGTCTGGAGGGCTGCACTGAAAATGGGTTATATT